TTTGAGCTCTTTTCCACCGAGCCGAGGTCAAAACAGGACTGGCATGGGTCGTGGACTCTGTGCACTAAACCAAGACAGAAGGTCCTGGCAATTAGTCAAAGTTTGGCCCGACCATAAGCCTCCTCTCGAGCAGGCATGGTATTAACTGCCACAACCGTCTGCAAAGTAAGCCTGGACAAAGCCAGGAGAGGATTTCGCAACCTGACTGCACCCAAGCGTCCCAAGACCCGTTTGCCGCTGCCTTTCGCCTGTGACATGGCCGTGAGCAGGTCCAGATCGTCCTCGCAGAGTGGTAAGTTGCATGTCACTCCTGGCTGAAACACACAGAGCTGGCGCGGTTCGCTAATCCCCGTAGTGTGTTTTTGCTTCTCGCATGGTTGGCGCTGTTGCGCTTTAGTTAGCCTAATTAAGTTGCTGCTGGTGATGAAGGTGGGGTACTTCAGCACCGAACTAGACTCACAGTGAACTGCCACGCGTGGAGGAGGACATATTTAATGATGTTGTGCAGAAATAGAATGTACAGCGCTGTCGGAAGTGCCGGGGACCTGAGTAAACAATGCGCAATGCGATGGCGCACTTTTACGCATGGATCACATGCGTTCATTATCCTCAGTGTTGCTCTCAGACAAGTTTACGAAGTAATTGAGTTTTTAAACGATTTATTTCGCTAAGAACTTTTTAAAGGCGTCTGTCCATGGTGCTGAAAGCAAGCTCAGTGACTGCCAGTCCACTCCAGTCCACTCTAGAGCAAACAAATCAACACGACACCAAAAATAATCATCCTTATAAACACTACCATCATTTATAAACCTTTTGTTCCACACAGTTGAAGCCTGGAACACCGCTGTGGACCAGGTGAAGGTGTCAATGGCCATGAGCGAGTCATCCTCCATCCACAGTGACAGGCTGTACAGCATAGCCAGGGAACTTTCTGGAATGGGGTTCGATCCGGTCAGCTACACGTTTGACGACCCCTTCAACTTCATCGACGACCGAACTCGCTCTGTGAGTGACTTTTCCATGTCAGCAAACGATGTGATTTTCTCAAGCTTTTGCTTTTTGCTTTTGCCCACCTGCTTCTTATGTGAGCCCTGCTGAAAAAAGACAATTAGAACTATTAAGATTAAAACCTAAACTGATGGTTTTGCTTTCTAATAAGAAATGGCTTCGTGGTTGCTGTTAGAAACCACTAGTTTTCTGTAGGGCACCTTTAGCTCCCATTAGGAAACCATCAAAGGCATCTGGAGTCTGTCCCAGAACACCTGTTAAAGCAGTAGAATCTGTTAAACCAGTAGAATATTCACACTGTGAATATCAACCCATCAGGAAAACTCATTAGTGAAAACACCATTAGTGACTATTGGACACCACCAGAAACTTTTAACGGTTTCTATGATTTTTTTCAGCAGGCAGTTCACTCATGAAAATTTCATCAAGTTCCTGACCTCAAGTATTTATAATATCATGTCTCTCAAAAACGTGACACTGGATAAGACCCGAGCCAGACGGGTAGAGGAGCCTGGAGCAGAGATACCTGACGCAACCTGGCGCAGCTCTTTATAGAGTTAAGAGGACTCATTCAGTATAAGGATCCATTATAGTAAGGCTAAGATTCAGCCCCAGAATAGATGAATCATGTAATCCACATCATTCTGCCAAGGCTGTCTTAGGTCATGTTCTGGCTGTGTCCCAGACTGGCAGACTTCTGATCTTCCATATTTAAAACTTTATCACAAGCATCTGATGTAGAAAACCAGCCTCATTTTGAAAGTTCAAGGAAATGATGTTCCAGGAAAATAAGATGCTTTTGCTTCTTCCTCTCTCCCAGCATGGAGAAGGATTTGGTTAGATTTTGGAAATATCAGGCTCATGTTTCAGACTGGCTTACTGACCCGTTATTGTTCCACAAACAAGAGCATATTAAATTCTCTTATAGAGGGTCAAGCACCCAAACAAATAAAGAAACAAACAAACAAGCAAACAAATACATGAAATGAACGCAGGCTGGGATTCTACAATTCTTCGGTAAAGGCAGTTCTTATATATACAGTCATTTTTTTTACTAAGAATTTCAATTACAGTTACACCAACATAAACACTTTCATCCTCAGTTTGTATTAAGACAGTGTAAATAAGAGTTGTTTAAAATATGAAATGAGCAGGTAACAAGTCCCAAAAATCTATAGTTACAGTCATAAACAAAAGTTTTGGATGTTCCTAGTTAAATTATATGTTTTGTTGATTTTCTTATTGAAAATAAGTTAACACACCCTCTACTGAGAACACACTTTTGCACAGTTTTATGCACAATTTCTGTTACTATTTGCTGAATTTAACACATTGGAAAAAATAAAATAAAATATTTTTCCCAACATGTTAAAACTCAACAAAACATGTCATTTGACTGGGGTGCCCAAACTTTTGCACACACATGTATGTATATAAAACCCCGACTACTCAAAAAGCCACTTGAATGCTTAAATGTTTTCTTGAATGATTACACGGTTACCATGATTGAGTACCTGTTGTGAATGATTCTTTAGGGAACCTTTTGAAAATGGTTCTATGTAGCACCATAATGGTTCCATTATGGTTACAAGTCCTTTTTTAGTACTATACAGAGTCATTTTTTGCTAAGATGTGTGGTATTTTATTTTGAAGGCAAGCAGACTATTCCCTCACTTTTTCAAGCACCAGAAAAAGAGGCTATTACATTCTGTGGCTATCTGACATCTGCTTTATTGATTCAGTTGTCCACAGTGTTCTTTGGTGCCAGAACGGGTAGGTGGAAAGGATGTTTACTCTGAAAAATATGATGAATGGTTTGCTAAGTCAAAATATTTAAAAAATTGCATGGCATGGCATTAGAACAAGACCCATACTCAGCTGGCATTTTGGACCTGAATCAATATTTGATATCAACCATCCTGCCTAAATGTCTTGTTCGTCTTTCCTGCTCAGCAGAGATGGGTACAGCAGCCTACACCTATCCTCCAGTAAAAGCAGTTTTACTTCAAGATGCTTGAGAAGAGGTAGAAGTAGCTACTAAAAGCAACTTGAGTAGGAGTGAAATGTCTCAGCTCAAAACTCCTGAAGTATTGAGTTCCCTGTAGTATAGAACTGCAGCAGTATAACCATCTATCAGCACAGGAACACTGTCTGTTCTGCTCTGTTCTTCTCTTGTAGGGATCCTTTTGGTTTAAAGCTCTAAAGTGAGAGGTTCAACACAACAGAACAGAAATTAAACAGATTTATATGTAAAAGATCAAAATGGAAATGTGGTTTCCTCACAAATATGAACATTTGAGAGCTTAGAAAAATAAAAATAAATCAAATTTGTGTTTAAGCACATGCAGCTGAGCGAATGTACCATAGAGTTCAAAAGTTTGGAATCACTGGTTATATTAGTAACTGTTGTCATTTTGTTCATTTGAATACAGTGTAGATTGAAATACTATAAGCTGGAAACCAGAAGGGACATCTGAAGATTCAATGTTCAATATTTCAAGCTCATGAAAAAGATTGAAAAAATATTAAAAGATTAAAGCATTAATAAATAAGAAAATAAATTACTACTGTACAGAAATACTGTCATTATAAACATATACAATGTAATGTATACATCATGTAATTATACATCATTTCTTGCGTCTGAGATTTGACCACCATGTTTTAAATAAGAGGCATTCTGGATTAATCGGAGACGTAGCTAGGACTCCTAGAATGGGGTCGCCACTGATATGCTAATTATTAAATGTGGCATCATCAGACTCTGAGAACTGATTCATACCTACCTTGATGGCAGATTTTCACCATATTGCATAATCAATGCTTTATTGATGATGTCTGTCTCACTTTCCATAACTGTGGTGTCCAGAAGGGTGGCAATGCTTTGGATAGCACTAGCCACCTCTGGCCACCCCTAGGCTATACCTCTGATGTTAATTTTATTAAACCTTCACTTTTAAAAGAGAATTCCACCATTTCTCTATAATTAAATGGTTAAGATGTAAACAGTCATTCAGAGTGGTCCGATGTGAAAAGCTTAATTCTAAAGAAACTTACCAAGTCAGAATTGTTCACAGTGGTGGTAATAGGAATCAGACGATGAAGAGTTTAATGCATCTAAAAGCTCCCTTAAAGAAAGTTATTACATGAAATGGTTATGAATACACTGCCTGGTGTTTGAGACATTGTTTTATGATTGTTTTCAGAAGGTTTTGTTTTTAAATACATTCATAGAGAAGGGGTACATGCAGGGTAAGGCAAAATAGTCCCCAGTGGAAAACTATTTTTTAGATGTGTAACTAATTTACCGACATTACATGTAAAAACATGCATAGGTTTATTAGTCATTTTGGATAGTAAATAAAATGGCTATATTTGTGTTGTAGACATTGCGTCCCCTGGTTCAGCACCACTGTAAAGAAACCTGAGTCTGTAAGTTTCTCCACAGCAAACCATTTCATAACAAAGCACTCTTTGACTTTACATCTCAAAAAATTTCAAAAGTTGGTGGAATTCCCCTTCAATGTTATACAGCTTTCACAGTCATTAAGGAATCTGAGCTTTCTTCATTTTCAGTTTGCTGCTAATTAATTGACATCTGTGAGGCTGTAAAGTAGCATCATAATAGAATCATTTCATACATTTATCAGCAATATTTTTATTTTTTAATATATTAAAAACAGAGAAAGCAAAATTGTGATTCCAAACCTCTGAACGCTCGTGTCAGTGCTAACTCCACAACTGCCCACGTTTGCTAATCGATCTACGAATTAACGACAAAAACACCCATATATTGTGTACTTTTGTCTCTGAACACGGAAAACTGCATACATTCTCCCACCGCATTCCCACCAACCCTAACTGTGGCGGCACAGGTGTCTCCCTGATTCCTGGAATTAGCGAGTGACGAATCACGAGTTTCTATGGAGATCCGTAGGTGCGCGCGGTTCCTAGTCAACCGGCTGGCTGGCACAGCGCGCGATGCAGAAAGCACAGAGCAGGCAGGCGGATGGGTTGCTCGCGCTGCGCGTTACATGAAGGTTTGGACGATGAGGATGGCAGGCAGCGTTGCGCTTGAGGTGACTGGGGTGTGGACATGCTCTGAATAAAGCAGGCAGTTGTGCAACGGTTTCAACTCGTCTGAATCTTTCTCTCTCTCTCTTTCTCTCTCTCTTTTTGGCTTCCCTTAAAGAGCTCCAACATGCTGCACTCTTCCAGGGATGACAAGCTACCTGTGAGTACGCCGCTCATTTTCTGAATTAACTCAGCTGCTGTGTTTGCACTGTGATTTGTTGCGGGTTATAATCACATTATCTGAAGTAGTTGAGACTTTCAACTTGAAACCAGGTGCCTGCCCCCTCGGAATGAAAAGTGCCGCTCTCCTTGTCTTCTGTTCTAAATTTAAGTGTATTGAGAGCAGCCAAATTAAGAAGCAATAGTCTGACCTACATCCATGCCTGTCATGCCCCCCCCCTTTCCTCTCGATGTGAATTTGATATGCAGGCGAAGTGGTGAGCGCTGCGCTTCTCTGTTCATTGTGTTTCCCCGTTGGCGCTTTTACAGGTGGTCAACAACTTCATGGACGCGGGGCACGAGCCGGGCAAAGGGTTGTACTTTGCCGACGGGAAGAGGAAAGTGGACTATGTGCTGGTCTATCAGTACCGGAGGCCGTCCTCGCTCCACGAATCCCCCGGCCAGCACCGGCTCTCTGTCATCTCCAATGGCAGCTTCCCTCGAGTGGGCAGCAAAGAGCCCGAAGGGGTCAAGGAAGAGCATGCGGAGGTGGTGCTGGACATGGGCCCTGCTGACCCGGCCGAGGGCGAGAAGATCATGATCCGGGAGGAGTTCGAGGCCAACCTGAGGGAGGCTGGGTTGGAGATGGAGCGGGACAATGAGGTGAGTGCGGGATAATGGCTGTATCGCATACGGCTCCTGAACCCTCCTGAGGAACAGGACTGTTTCTGTTGACTCTTTCTGTTATGGTGACAAACTGTTCCGCTTAATGGTGCTTCACCGTATGTGCATCTCAACATGAGGATTGAAATGCATTATGTCAGCATCCAAGAAAGCAGTTGTACCTGTCATTTTTTGAGCAAAACAGGTGTCGATGAGGTTGACTTTCAAATAGTAAGATGTTTCAGTAGATCACAATCCCAGAAAACATTAACAACTGTGGGGGTTTTTGCTTAAAAGAGGTGTTCATGGGGTCAACTTTCAAATATTCAGATGTTTTGATGAAATGCAATCTCTGAAATAACTAGTGGCTGTTGGTTTTTGAGCAATAGCCATGTTCATGAGATTAATGTTAGAAAATGTAGATGTTTCAACAGGATGCAACCCCACAAAGCACTAGAAACTGTTATTGTCTGAGCAAACGAGGTGTTCATGAGGTTGACATAAAAATTATGAGGTTTCAGTGGATCACAATCCCAGAAAACATTAGCAACAATCCCAGAAATAACTAGTGGTTGTTTTTTGGGTGTTGATGAGATGGACTTTCAAATATTCAGATATTTTGTTAGATCACAATCCCAGAAAACACTTTTTTAGCCAAAGAGGTGTTCATGAGGTCAACTTTTAAATATTTAGATGTTTCAAGAGAGTGCAATCCCAGAAAGAACAACAGGCTGTTGTTTTTGAGCAAAGGCGGTATTCGTGAGTTTGACTTTCGAATATCAAGATGTTTCAGTAGATTATAATCACAGAGAACATTAGTGCTGTGTTTCTGAGCGAGAAAGTTTTTCACATGGTCAGTTTTTGAATATTAAGATTTTTGACAGGACGCAATCTGAGAAAGCACTAGTAGCAAAAGAGGTGAGGTTGACATAAACATTAAACTGTTTCGGTAGATCAGAATCTCATGAAACATCAGTGACTGTGGTTTTCTGAGATATTCGTGAGGTTGACTTTCAAATGTTTCGGTAGATCATAATCTGAGATAACATTATTGTGATTGTGTTTTTTGGAGCAAAAGATGGTTTCACAAGGTAAATATTGGAATATGAATATGTTTCAGTAGGATGCAGTCCCAGAAAGCATTAGTGGCTGTCATTTCTTGAGCAAAAGAGGTGTTCATGAGGTTAACATAAATATTAAGATGTTTCAGTGGATCACAATCCCAGAAAACATTAGTACCTGTTTTTTGAATAAAAGAGGTCTTCATGGGGTCAGCTTTCAAATATTTATATATTTCAATGGAATGTAATTGAAGAAATAATCAGTGGTTATTGTTGTTTGGGCAAAAGAGATGTTGATAAGATGGACCTTCAAATGTTAAGATGTTTTGGTAGATCACAATCCCAGAAAACACTTTTTTTTAGCAAAGAGGTGTTCATGAGGTCAACTTTCAAATATAGATGTTTCAACAGAGTGCAGAGTTTCAGTAGATCATAATGACAGAGAGCATTAATGAGCGTGTTTTTTTTTTTTTGAGCAAAAACGGTTTTCTCAAAGTCAGTTGTTGCATATTAAATTTTTGATAGGATGCAATCTGGAAAAACACTGACAGCTGTCATTTTTTGGGCAAAAGAGGTGTTCATAGTGTACATTTTTGAATGTTGAGATTTTTCAATAGAATGCCATCCTGGAAAGCACTGACAGCTGTCATTGTCTGAGCAAAAGAGGTGTTCATGAGGTTGACATAAACATTAAGCTGTTTCAGTAGATCACAATCCCAGGAAACATTAGTGGCTGTAAGATTTTGAGGAAAAAAACATGTTCATGAGGTCAGTTTTCAAATATTGCAACAGAATGCAAAACCAGAAAGGACTAGTAGCAAAAGAGATATTCATGAGGTAGACTTTCGAATGTTTCGGTAGATCATAATCTGAGAAAACATTAGCGATTGCGTCTTCTTAAGCAAAAGAGTGTTTCATGAGGTCAATTTTAGAATATTGACATGTTTCAGTAGGATGCGATCCCAGAAAGCATTAGTGGCAGTCGTTTTTTGAAGGAAAGAGGTGTTGTTGAGGTTGACTTTCGAATACTAAGATGTTTCCATAAAATGTTTCATGCCAGGAGCTGGAAATCTTTTCAGATCTTTTCAAAAGGAATAGTTTTCATGATGCTGCAGGGAGAGATTGTTTTTCACTCTCCAGGCGCCAGCCATAGAATTTCACTAAAGAAAGACCTTGATACTTCGCTATGAATGTTTTGCAGTTTCGTCAAGGCTGTTTTGATCATCAGCATCATTCAGAGCTAATACTGAGATGTTTTGTTCTTGTCTGCTCTTCTGGATCGACTGCTTCGTGAAACACAATGTGTTAAGTGATGTGCGTGTGAGTGCGTGTGTTTGCACATGTGTGTGTACGTGCAGCACAGTGGAATCTCTGCGCGTGGGTGTTGGGTTTGGGCTACTCCTCTTGGCTGTCTCTCCAGATTGCGCCGGGACTTTTGCCAGGCTCTCCTAAGAAACCCTCTATTTGGCAGCAAAACAGTTTCAGAGGGCAAGAGAGCAGCTTGGTTTTATGGTGCAACCCCCTTGTTTTTATAGATTACATCCATTATTAAGTAGATGAGTTCTGTGTTGTTATTAGTGATGCTACTTACTGTTGTCACTCATTTGTTTGTCTGTTCGGGGGCATTCCTTGAGATGGTATAATAAGAGATCATAAACAGCTGAATATTATTGTCTTTTTAACCCCAAGACCTGTCAGCAGTTTATTACATGCCTCTATAGCTTAGGAATAACTCTTTTGCTTTGTAGTCCATTTATTTACTGAATGATAAGATGTAATAAGGCTGGGATTGTAAGGGTTTGCACCTGATCTTAAGATGTTTTACTCAGAATTTAACATCATCCTCTGTACCTGATGAGTCTGTTATGACAGATGTGATACATACCTGTGCCACTATTATGCTTAAAGGACCAATTAGATACTTCAGGGTGTTTTTTTCAAGAATTTAAATTAAAAATACACTAACTTAACAAACAATGTCATCCTCTGTTTGTGTTTAGACAGCGTAAATAATAGTAGTTTGAGAATAGAGAATGAGCAGGTCATGAGCCCCAAAAATCTATAACTAGTCATATGCCAAAGTTTAGGCACAATAGAATACCTATATAAATACAAAATAGTGCTTAAAATAAAAAAATAGGACATAACTGTAATCCAGTACTTTACAATTTGAGTACCTTTGATAAATAAGGTATTCATAAATAATGATCATTGTTAGGGTAACATTCCAATGTTGTAAGCAAAAAGAAACAGGAGAAAATTTTAATACTCTTCACCCTGACCTGACTCAAGAAAACCATTAAAAAGAAGAAAAAATAGAAAACACAGAGGGTAAGCATTAGGCGTGAGAAAAATAATTAATTCTAAGATGCATCATGATTCTCTCTTGAAATATTTGTCATAATCATATTATTACGCTATATATATTAATAGTGGTATAGTGCCAAACATTTCTGGTGAAAAACAAACACCATGGCTTGTATTGTATACAATGTAAAAAAAAAAGATCAAATAAAAATGTAGTTCATTGGTTTGAACATATTGGATAGTGAAAATAAGCTAACACTGTTGAAGACGCTCAGATATAGGCTAAAGATTAAATAATTTTAATTCAGTTCCTTCATGCAAGGAGAGATGATGCCCCTCTGTTTGTCTCAAACATGCACAGCATAAAAATGTCTCATCAGACATATGGGCTGCCATGACATACATTCCAAACCTAGTGGTGCATGGTGGGCCCCATTTTTCACAACGCTACTTGTGAAGAACAAACATGGCACAAAGTCATAATGTGGGTGATAGAACTGAAAAAATCAAGATGCATGCAGAATAACAGTATAATTGCATGTTGGCACCCTTAATTGAAATTAAATCAAATCATGATTCCCATCCCTCGTAAGCTTGGCTACCTTGGATGGTGTTAATTAAAGCTGATCTTTTACATTGTAAAGCTAACTGAACTAAATTAAAATGTCAGTAATTTTACAGGAATAGATTATAAAAGTAGTAGAATTAAGGACATATTTACATATTTCATAATTTACTGGTAATTTCACTCACAGTTCCATTGCTTTTTACATGTTTTAAGGAATAGGTGATATGCAGGAACCAGTAATTAAAACATTATGAAATGCCATTAAAATGTCTCTAAAATGTGAATCCAGTACATTCCTGCCTGGGTTTGCCCTACAGATGGGTTCTCTGAGTGCAAGCTGTGGGCTTTTGCAGGACACAGCTGGCTATAATTTAAAAAAATGGTTTTTTTTGGCTGTTGGAAATAAAAGAGTCTGATGTAGTATGTAAACGTAGTTTGTTTCAAAACAAACTGTTCACTTTCCAGACCATACAGTCAGTATATTCCCATTTGGAATTCACTATTTTTGTGATGTCACATAAAAACTGCATGTTCACATATATCCACCTATTCAGCCTACAGCAGTTTAGCCCCTTCCATTCATGTTGAAGTAGCAAGAACTGTTATAGCATTTACACTCTGCTTTTTGAATGAGTCTCAATACAGGTAGCCAACCAAAACAGAGATCACTTATAAATATATATATATATATATATATATATATATATATATATATATATATAGTAGTCTTAAACGCACAGTATCAAAAAAGGCCTGTTTAATTCTAATCAATGAAGAGAGGTTGGAAAAAGGTAATGTAAAAGAGGTCATTCAAAAATGAATTATGACTGTTTTTTGTTCCATAATCCTAGACAGATGCCATATCTGCACTACAGTGGAAAAAATACAACATGGGCCCTTTAAAGTTTCTCAGTTGTTTATCATAGTAATGTTCACTTTGTACATGTACTTTGTACAATTAAGAATGCTCAAGAGAGCACGCTTACAGCTGCAACACATCTGCAGGTTTGCAGGCCTATTTTGTGTGTGTGTGTGTGTATGTGTGGAGGGGGGGCGGACCCCTT